ATCTTCACTTGAGTATCTGTCGATCAAAACCAGACCAGACCGAACAGCTTGTTAGGCCCAGAGCGCCTTCGTCAGCTGTCACATGATACACTTTTTATGGATGGAACTGCTCTGGTACCCAGCAGCACCGTCAGGAATCTGGGAGTTCTCTTTGACCACCATGACCTTCAACTCGCATATAAAGAAGACTTCAAGGAGTGCCTTTTTCATCTGCGTAATATATAAAAAATCAGGAACTTCCTGTCTCAAAGTGATGCAGAAAAATGAGTTCATGCGTTTGTTACTTCTAGACTGGATTACTGCAATTCTTTGTTATCTGGCTGCTCTTGTAAATCTCTCCAGTTGATTCAGAATGCTGCAGCACGTGTATTAACAATAATTAAGAAAAGGGATCATATCACTCCTGTATTAACTTCTCTGCACTGGCTCCCTGTTAAATCAAGAATAGATTTTAAGGTACTTCTCCTCACCTACAAGGCACTTGCTGGTGAGGCACAGTCGTATCTTAAGGAGCTTGTAACACCGTATTGCCCTACAAGGCAACTGCGCTCCATAGATGCTGGTTACTTGTTGTTCCTATGGTTTTAAAAAGTAGGCTGGGGGCCAGAGCCTTCAGTTATCAAGCTCCTCTTTTGTGGAACCAGCTTACACTTTCAGCCCGGGGGGCAGATTCGGTCAGCTCTTTTAAAGTAAAACTTAAAACTTTCCTCTTTGAGTCTGCCTATAGTTAGGGCTGGCTCAGGTTAGTCCGGACCAGCCCTTAGTTAAGCTGCTATAGGCTTAGACTGCCGGGGGACTTCTTAGGACACACCGAGCTCCTCTCACGCTCTCTTTGTACAATAATTCACGTTTTATTAATGCACATGACTAATTCAGCTTCTTTCCTGGAGTTTTTTGAATAGTTAATCTGTCACCCATGACGACACGCCCCTCACACCTAAGGACATGCCTCCTATGCCATATCAGGGCCAAGTGAAAAAATAAGATTTGAATCTGAAAATATAAAAACTACAACTGAAAAATATAAGACCTCAAATACAAAAAAAATGTGAAAAACTTTGTTCTCTTCCATGGACTTTGGACTTCCTGCTTGTTATCCACGGTTCTGTTACGCTTTCCAACAAGTGGAATTAATTGCTCAATCACATCTTATTGCACATACAGTGACAAATCTACAAGCTGTTTTTCTCCTCAACTGAGTTGTAGCAGCTGGTCGACTACAACCAGGTGATCAATGAGAGAAAAACTGAACACTAAAGAAAACACAAACACATTCAAACACTCTAAAAAGTGACTAAATGTGTTTAAAGCAGATGAAGAAATGAACATGAAGCTTTGTGGACTTAAAGGACTGAAGCAGCAGGTGAGACAAACAGAGCGTCTCTCAGGTGTGTTTCAGGAACAAAGGCCCAGGTGAGCTCTGTGGTCCCTGCTGGGTCCTAGTGCCCCTCTCTGTTACCTTCCCCTCCTCATCAGTAACAGTCCTCACAGACCCCAGATCAGACTGAGCTCCTCTTCTTCATCACAGTGTCATCATTCAGACTAACAGCAGCTTCTCTCTGCCTGCTCACACAGGCGCCATCTTGTTTTCCAGCTTTAAACAATCACACCTTCACGACCATCAACGATGTCATTCAACCAATCACAGCTGCACTTACTGAACTTGTAGACATGAAGTTCCTCAGTGAGCAGCTCTCTTATGTTCTCAGCAGGTCCGTAGAAAAGGAGCTTCGTGCTTCACTTCAGCTTCCATCAGACGGAGTGAAGTGACGCAGCTTGTTAAAGCTTCTTATCTTTAATCAGAGAGGGTGTGTCCTCACGTCACCATCAAAGTCCAAAGTCTGACTAGTTGATTGAGTCTCAGTCTGAGCTGCGTTCACAGGGTCAAAGGTCATCATGAACAGAATCCTCCTCACTGCTCAAACAAGAGTCTTTCAGGATAAAAAGCATCAGTGGAACAATCCTTCCACCTTGTAAAGAGTTGCTATGACAACAGACTGGATGCTGTAGTTTGGACCAGATGGTCCAGAGGACCCGTGCACGTCCCTCTTTGTCTCCTGGTCTTCTTCTACATGTAGACTAGTAGGGAACACGTGATGAAGCTGAAACCTTTGTAACAAATGTTGTGGAGAGTTTATATTAAATAAACATTCACTAAGACAAGAGTCTGAGCTGAGAGTGTTTTTATTCTTCACTCCACTGATGATCAGGTTGAACCTGTTGGGGCGGAACAACTCACCCACGTATCAGTGTGAAGTGTTAAATCATTTACCTTTATGACCAACTGCCGGTTCCTCACAAAGTACATATTGTTACATGCAGGATTCAACTGGGGCTTCATATGACTTCATCACAAAGCAGCTTGAACCCTCTGGCTCATAAATCTGCTGTGCAAAGGATTGTGGGTAAGAACATCCAGTAAAGAAGCCTGCTTAAGTACGGTGAATTGTGGCTGAATGTAGAACACAAACTGTAATTCCTTCAGCGACGCCCAAAGGAGGAAAAAACACCAGAACTGTCGAAACAAGCTGCTACGCTCAAGCTCACTATGATTTTCTTTTTCTTTTTGTATGTTTTGTATTATTATTAATATTTTTTGGTGAAAAGTGTGGACTTTCCCTTATGATAACATTAATGGTTGGAACTAATTGTGCTGCCATTTGTTCGTGCATGTGACAGTGTTTCTGCTTTCACAAGTAAGGATGAAGCTCGGTGCCTTCTTTGGAGGTCGGACATCTTGGAGTCTGTTGCTCAACCGGCAAACTCTGGATCAGAAGCCCACTGAGCTCCTCCACCTGCCTCTAAATACGGAGTCACAACCAGATGTGTGGTGACTTTGCGTGATAGTTGGTGGCGTGTAGCTGCTGGTGTGATATTGTGTGTGTTTATAACACATGAAGTAAAGTGTGCCAGTGTCACCTCCATCTCCTCTATAAGCCCACACCTGACACGTTCACATCTAAATGGTTCATCTGTGGAGAAACAGGGATTATTTTGGAGCAAAATAACCGAATTGTGGATTTATTCTAAATACTGAACTGCTCCAATACATTGAATTCAGCATTTGTTCACAGTTACAGATGGCGGTCATTCTACAGTGAAATTAATGTTTCACTTTTATAGAATTGTTTCCAGTGAGATATTGAATCCACATTTGAAATGACTATTGGGCTTCACACACCTCCACCTCTCAGCGTGGTCTGACGTGTAGATACAAGTATTTTACTGGTTAACTCTAAATGAAGATGGCACACAGCAAAAAGAATCTTGTGTCTGTAGCACAATACCAGATATCCAGTCGTGTGTTAGTTTTTAGAAGAATGGTTTGTTTCTCGGTTAACAGGGTAAGAAGTGGCGAGTAACAGGAACATCTCTTTCCTGGTCTTCTACCTCCAAGCGCGCGTAGAACCCTCCAGCGTGTTCCCTCAAAAGAGCCCAGTGCCGCGTGAGCTTAACGCTCCCGCTCACCAACAGAGGTGTCAAAAAGACACACCTCTTCAGACTCTACCTCGACTAAAGACTAACAAATTGTAGCACTTAAATTGTACTTGTAACGTCACTCATCTATAGCCAATTGTAAATTGGCTTACTTGAGGAAATTGCACTTTCTTGTTTCTTGTTCTCCTGAGTTTGTACCCTATGGTTGAATGCACTTATTGTACGTCGCTTTGGATAAAAGCGTCAGCTAAATGACATGTAATGTAATGTAATACAGATACTAGGGTTTAAAAATACTCCTGTAGAAGTTGAAGTACCAACTCAAGCTTTTTACTTAAGTAAAAGTATAAAAGTACTGGTTTCAAAACTACTTAAAGTATAAAAGTAAAAGTAATGTAAGAAAATCCATTAAGGACAAACTCTTAATGCGTAACCTCGCTCACACAACACGTCAGTCCGTTACAATGTGATCAGAAGGCGCCTGCAGATCACGTGACCTGCCGTTGGGATGGTGGAAACAACAACAACAACAACAACAACAACAACAACAACAAATGTATCTGACTTAAACAGATAAAACCACAACCCATTTTCCAGTGACACGAGTCACACACACGTTGTTCACATTGATGAGGTGGACTGCAGTGTCTCCCCCAGGTTCACTACGTCATGGGGGGGGGCAGCCCTGTTTATAATGATGGAAACACTGAACTGGCAGCGGTCGGTTATCTAAACATGGGCCAAATAACCAGTATGTTCAGGCTTCATGAGCAAATACAGAATCCCTTTGTGTTCATTTCCAAAGCCGCATTAAGACACACATCACTTTATTTAATACGCTGCTTGCAAGTCGCTGTGTTGTGCCAGACTCTCAACAAAACATGTAGGACAAACCCACGGTCATGAAGAGACTCATCTAACGTTACATGGACTCTGTGTGAGGAAGAGGAGGAGGAAGAGGAGGAGGCTCCATGTCGCTAAATACCAACTTTCCAAAGACCACTTTTCCCACCCGGTGTCGCTCCGATCTGCCGGCGCATCACGGAGGAAACCAATCGGGTGTCTGGATGCTAAATGTTTATACTTCTCATCCAATCACAAATTCACTCTCCACATAGCGACATTTATCTAGTTTTTTGTGTTTGTGTTGTTGAACTACGACAAGCCGGAAGTAACGAGGCTGTTTTTAAAATGTAAGGAGGAGAAGTAAAAAGTCTGGTTCACATAGAGGATCAGGACTACACTGAGACTGGTTCACATAGAGGATCAGGACTACACTGAGCCTGGTTCACATAGAGGATCAGGACTACACTGAGACTGGTTCACATAGAGGATCAGGACTACACTGAGACTGGTTCACATAGAGGATCAGGACTACACTGAGCCTGGTTCACATAGAGGATCAGGACTACACTGATCCTGGTTCACATAGAGGATCAGGACTACATTGACCCTGGTAACAGGTTTGGGGCCACAGGAGGAGGGCGAGGGTCCACTGGAGCAGGCGGAATGAGACGAATGAGCAAACAGCCATATGTCCGTCAGTGGACTGGAGGGGGCGGGACCTGTTCGGCAGCATGCTGAGGGCTCAGTGGCGCTGTGGGAAAGTGAGTTAGTGATTCTGGTCGCTGGGATGGAAAACTACGGCGTGGACGACATCCTCCAGTTCAAAAAGAGCAGCACCAGGTCCAGACCTTCTCACCGGTAAGAAAACCATTTAAAAAAGGAGGAACTCCCAAAACGGAGTCTTCAGGGAGCTGGTGTCCTTGCTGTCTGATCCTGAGTATTACATCTGGAAACATGAGTTTGGTGTCCTGAGTTGGACTGTGATGGTCCCAAAGCAGATGAAAACGACCATGACTTTACTTCTAATGTCACCTAACAAGAGGAGAGCGCTCCATGAAAACTCCAACATTCTAAAAGAGCAGGACTTTTGGGGGCCCCGGTTCCCTGGTGAAAGGTTGGATGCCCCTGGATCCAGAGGCTGTTTATCAGACATCACTCGGCTCCCTGAGGACCCAGACTTTACTCCACTCAGGCAGGTCTGCCCCACCTGGAGTAAAGTCTGCGTCTAATACCTCTGTTTATTAATAACACCTAATGGCCAGTAAACCCACAAGCAATGAGTCTCTTCAGTGGAGGAGAGAACGTCTTCTCTCGAGGTCTCCTTCTGCAACACAAACATCTAATGAATTTGTAACATTGCCTCATATAATAATATGATTAAAATCGGGGACGTGTTGTTGTGTTTCTATTCACAACCTACAAGGACAGATGTTTGTTGAAAGGTAGAACAGACCCACAGATTGTGTTTGAGTTTCAAAGGTCCGTGTTTACTCTCCACCTCGTGCAGGAGACTCTGATCCCTCCGATTACTGGGTGACACCTGACCTGAAAGGCCTCGTTGTGCTAAGCTAAGAGGCTAACCGCTTTTTGACCGATTTCTCCAATTTCATGAGACTTTGCACTGTTCTTTTAAGGGGTAGACCTGCAGGTCAGTGAACGGATAAAACCATTCTATTCAGACAAATGAAACTTGATGTACTTGATGAAATTAATATATTTAAATAATAAGTTCCTGCTTAAAGTCTGTAAATGTCATCAGGTCCCTGTGAGGTGCTGCGTCAGGTGTTTTCTTTGGCTCCGCCCCCTCCCCTCAAAGGCTTCAAGTAATAAATGATATTGTACAAACAACTCTGACAGATGAAAGAAAATAAAAAGGAGGAGAAAAGAAAATGAGTAAACTGAGCCAGAGAGGCTGATGGGAAATCTCCGACTGCAAAATATGTGGATCAAAAAAATAAAATAAGCCTTTAAAAGATAAATACGATGGAAGAAAAATAAACCTTTCTCTCCAAACAAAGCCGAGTGAAAAGTCACCGATCAAAGGTTGGAATACTCACACACACACTCACACAAACACACACACACACACACACACACACACACACTCACACAAACACACACACACTCACACAAACACACACACATGCAGACGGTCGTGCCGTCTGATTGGCTGTGACACGTGAGGCCCAGTGACACGCCCACAGGGCCAGGTGAGGGAGCAGAGCAATCGCCTGCGGGGGGGCAGACTGTGAGGTCGGCCTGCATGTGTGCGTGTGTGCTTGTGTGCGTGTGTGCGTGCGTGTGTGCGTGTGTTATAAAGCGGTCGCCGTGACGATGACAGAGCAGTGTGTGGACCAGCAGGCGGACGGCAGGAAGTGATCAGTGGACAGAGAAGACCTGTGAGTCTGTCCCCCCCCACAGGGTCAGAGATGAGCGATGCCCCAAACCGGAGACTCTGGTACTAGTAGTATTTGTAGTAGTACAGTGTTTGCATGCTGGCATCAGGTAGTAGATGAGTCCAAGTACTTATTGTTGCATTGGTACTGTTTCTATTTGAGGTGTTTGCATGTTGGCATCAGGTACTTATATCATAAGATAATATCCATCTTTCTGTCTACAGTCATGTGACCGATACGAGAAGAAGTCGCTCAACACGTTTGAGGTCATTTAGAAACCAACTGTGTTTATATGCCACATCTTTCTAAATAACTTGATTCTTTTATAAACTTCTACCAGAAATTGCAAATGAAAACTAAGTATAGGTACTATATATATATATATATATATATATATATATATATATATATATATATATATATATATATAGTATATATACTCAGTTAGGAATACTGAGTATATCTGAATTTAAGGAGGAGAAGTTAAAGTGACGAGTCTCTCTGAAACACGTGTGAACGAGTAATAATCAGATTAAACCTCAAATATAAAACATGTATTTATTCTGTGTTTTTGCTAATTTAATTGTCCTGGGTCCTTTTGCTGTTTCCTGAATGTCCTTTTGTTGCCGTTGGAAGTTCCGATGCGGAAAACGCGGAGGAGCGTCCCAGAAACGAGAGGACGGCCCGAGATCCACCGGACGCCGTCGAGCCGGAGCGACGCGAGCCGCCCGGCGGCAGAAAACCAGCCTTGGTCAGGTGGGTCGGCCCAACGCCTTCACTTGAGCGTTGTCATTTCATGTTTACTGAGGGAATAAATCAACAGAGAAGTAGAGTCATTTCCTCATAGACGTCTATGGGAGCAGAGGAGTCGCCCCCTGCTGGTCACTACAGAGAAGTAGAGTCATTTCCTCATAGACGTCTATGGGAGCAGAGGAGTCGCCCCCTGCTGGTCACTACAGAGAAGTAGAGTCATTTCCTCATAGACGTCTATGGGAGCAGAGGAGTCGCCCCCTGCTGGTCACTACAGAGAAGTAGAGTCATTTCCTCATAGACGTCTATGGGAGCAGAGGAGTCGCCCCCTGCTGGTCACTACAGAGAATGCAGGTCTTAAAGAATTTGAAGGTATATAATATACATTATGGTTTATATTGACACAACCATGACTCCATGAATAGTTGGGTACATGTGATGTGAAGTGGTTATGGACCGGTAAGACGTCAGCGGATGAAGACATTATATATTTATCTCATTCTTTAGCTTTTATCATTTGTTCTGTAATTGTTTACTTCAACACCGGTGCAGTTTTTTATGCTCGTCCTCCGATGCTGCAGCTCTCACGTTTCTGGGGAACCGATCGTCCGATCAGCAGCACACTGATCGGATGGAGGGTTCCATGAACACATCAGAGTTCACAGCCACGCCACGTCAGCTGTGATGTAATCAGGATGTCATTCCTCTCCATCTGCAGATCAAAGACCTTCGATCCCTCTCTGCTGACTCGCGTGCAGACGGACCCGGACTCCAAGATAGAGAGGAAGAAGTCTTACTACAGCCAGGTGGGTGTTTTATTGCACCTGGAACATCACCGCTTCAGTGAGAGACTTTGTTTCTGATGGAATTCATTCTAATGGGGGGGGGTATTTTGAAAATTAGGACAGTTGCTCAACAAGTCTAACTTGAACGGTCGGGGGAATCAAACGGCAGCACGTCGCACAGACTTTATAAAAGAAGTGGTCTTGGTCATCATGGCGCCGCTCGCTATGAAGCATCAGGTTCGCCGGTTTTGGCGTCGCCATCTTGACTTTTCTGCATCCGACCAACGGGAGTCCAAACGTATTTGGAATGCAGCTCTAACAACGGAAGAGACCTGTCAATCAGCGTGAAACCCCGCCCTAAAGCATCCCTTGCTTTATGGGTTAGTAGAAACCTGTCAATCACCTGGTGGTCACTACCCAGAATGCAGGACGTGAAGCTCTGACTCTGCAGGTTTCTGCCTTGCATATTGTCAACAATTAAATAAATATCTTAAGTAAGTGACAGAGACGTGTGTAAATTAAATTTAGCACTTCAGAAGAACTCAACTGCTAAACTTCTTTTTCACGGTTATTTTATATTTATATTTAATTTTATTTGTAAGTTAGTTTTACATCAAAGTCTCGGTGGCGTCCGCAGCTTTTGCAATGTAATCAATATGCAGCTTGTGCACCCATCGCTCTGCGTTGTGTGTTTTCTGTGTGCGTTTCAGCTTTCAAAGAGCAACTGCCAGTACCATAAAATATTCAAGGAGATCTGCAAAGAAGAACAGCTCAGACAGAGTAAGTCGCTAATGACCACATCCACCTTGAATACTGCATAGGGCACGAGAGGAGAGCCGGACATTTGATATGTTCAACACGGGGGGGGGGGTTAGTGTATCTTTGTGGTGGTTTTGTGTCTCTCTTCTAGTTGCTTTGTGTCTCTTTGTGGTGTTTTTGCATTGTCTTTTAAATCATTGTGCGTTTCTCTGTCATTTTGTTGAGTTCTTTATTAAAACTCATTTGACAATTAAAGCTGAGATTGTTTTAGTACTAATTTGCCACTTTGACTGATTTGCCTGATTGAGGAGACTTAAGTTGTCCTACTAAAACACTGTAACTCTGTGAGACAACTTCTGGATCTGTCACCTGCTCTTTTGCTGATGTGTAATTACTGGAGCGGGTCGGTACCGAGACGTCTGTGGGTCGTAGCAGTAGTGTTTCACCACAGGCTGCAGAGATGTTCTCCATGTTGCCTGATGCTCTCTACCTGTCGGTCAGGTTACACCTGTGCTCTGCAGAAAGACATCCTCTACCAGGGACGGATGTTTGTCTCCGACCACTGGATCTGTTTCCACTCCAAGGTGTTTGGAAAGGACACAAAGGTACCGTAGGCCGGCTCCTCTCTATGTACGATCTGATACAGCGTGAATGATCTAAACGGTGATTCAGGGACTCACCCCCCACTACCCCCACTACCCCAACTACCCCCCCCACCCGGTGTTCCCCCTTCTCAGATCGCCATCCCGTGGTTTCCGTCACGCACGTCCAAGAAGACAAAACCGCCATCCTGTTGCCCAACGCCCTGGTTGTTCGCCACCGCTAATGACAGGTGGAGCCCCCCCCCCCCCCCCCCTCATGTCATCGCCCGGCTTCTTTAAGCCGCAGACGTGGTTCGTTATCAAAGAATGTGTTTTTTTTTGTTGCAGTACGTCTTCGTGTCCTTCATGTCCAGAGACAACACCTACAAGTTCTTGATGTCCAGCTGTCTTCACCTGGAGGTAGGACCAACCTTCACCGAGGAGAACGTCCACTGAAAGGACAATTGACTTCTTTCATGGTGTTTGTGATTGAATTCTTTGACCTTTTTCCGTCTCATCAAACACATGAACTCAGGGACACGAGATGATTAGTTAAACTCAAATAAACGTTTCCTAAGTTTTTGTTCTTCTTTAAGGTGTTCAACTCGTCAAGAACCAACAATTCCGTTTCTCTGTGTTTGGGTCAGAATAGTACGTTAACGTGGTTCATGCAGATAATTACACTTTCTTCAAGTTCTATAATCGTTTTTTGGATGTTTCTGTGTTTCTTTAGGACGATAAATCGAAACGTATCTATTGAAGAAGATTATTTTACCCGAAATACTTCATTATTTTTCACGTCCTTATTAAAGCAGAAGAAAACGCTGCACATGAACCGTGTATGTGCATATATATATATATATATATATATATATATATATTTATATAGTGTAATGAGCCGAGTTAATGTGTCCCTGTTATTATGAGTTCTTCAGTTATGCACTAATGTTACCAGCAGAAGTCAATGTTGTTATATGAGACCTATTGAAGTGGGGGGATTGTCTCGCGAGACAACGCGAGTTCCGGGGGCTGTGTGTGCGGAAGCGTTTGCACGCCGTGGTCTCAGGCCAACAGTGACCGGAGTTAAGCTGAGTTCCCTAAATAAATGCAGCGAAGTTGCAAGCGAGCCATCGCCTCCTTATTCACGCTGCAGCACCGGGGCGATCCGTGCATACATCATGTGCTTTCTCCCATTGAATATCCCGTGTGCAGGAGAAGAGTCCGTGCAGCAGCCCTGTCCCGTCCTCGGCTGCGAGCAGCTTCAGAGGTCAAAGGTCACCTCAGAGGTCACCTCTGACGCCTCACTATGCTCTGGTAGGTGGGACGTCACGCTTGACACAACCTGAGGAGGGAGATGTTCTCTGAAGAACCCATCATATTTATAGCTTTACAAACAAGCTGCATGCTTTTGTTCTTTCAAATAACAGCTGTTTGTTTTCCAACCTTCACATCATGTTCAGCTCGCATGAGGAGGTGACTCGTGGGAAGTGTGGATATAAAATAGGAACAATATGCTTGACTTACAGACACATTTATGTAGAAATATGTCGGGCGTTCAGAACGACAAAAGGTAGACAAGCTAATTCATTTTGCGGGTGTTTTTGATGAAAGTGACTATTGATGGGGTATATATATATATAATATTAGATATGTAATATATTAGATATATAATACACTATATTATATTTCTAATATGTTGGTTTTTGAACCAGAGCTTCCCGGCTGATTTCTGCGAGCTGGACGTGGCGGTGAGGCAGAGGAGGCGAGACGTGGAGGAGAGCAGCAGCTCGGACTCACAGACCCCCGACTACGACAAGGCAGCAGGTACCAGCCGCCGGCCAATCGGACGCCACCCAGCAGTCACATGACGAGCCGCCGCAAATATGACCAAAGCTTTTTACTAAAGTTTGAACTTCATCTTTATGTTAAGTACTTATACTCCTCTAGTTCATAATGATGACTTTATTAAATTTAAACAGCCATTCACATGTTGAGAACAAACTTAAAAATAAAATATATTAATCAAATAAAGCAGCGTAGCAGGAAAGACATCACATAAAAGTCTATAAACGGGGTTTATGAAGCTCTTTAGGATTTCATTTATTCTGCACTAAATGCATTCCAACAATTATTCATCGCGCCCGATTGGAGCTGCAGAGAAGGTTACAATCAGTGGAGGAACGCAACGTGACACCTGGACGCCATCCAACGCTCAACAACGAGGGGAGGGAGAGGAAAGGAGAAGATGGAGTCTCGTTGCGTGGTGGAGAACACCGACACGACGCCCCCCCTCACCTTCCTCTTTCTCCCTGCAGAGTTCCCCGATCCTCTGCCCGAACACCAACGGGTGAAGAACCAGCACCAGAACCAGAACCAGACCCAGACGCAGAGCTCTGACAACAAGCAGCAGGACAAACAGCACACTGGTACGATCAAGTCTGGATCCTCCACCTAAAACTAATGACGAACCTTTAGCCATTTTAAATATGCAACAACTGTGAAAAAGTTAATCGACAGTGATGATCCCTGGGGAACTATCCCATAGTTCATGGTGTCACAGTCGTGGTGACATTCTGAATGTTACATTAAACTATTTTAATTAGGGCTGTCAGTAGATTAAAATAAATTAACTAATAATCACACATTTCGAAATTCATTAATGGCGATTAATGAATGTTGTTGTTGCTGTTACTATGTTGTTTATAATGAATGTTCATTTTTCTTCTAAAGACTAAATCTTAAAAGTAATGAGTAATCACTTTAGAAAGTTGTATTTTAGACACTTGTTTAATTGTTAATGTTATTTTAAACACAAAACTACACACATTTGGTCATCTAGGAGACAGAATTCCACCAGGTGGAACATGTTGAACTAGCGACTCTTCCTGTCGTCCTCGTGCACTTTGCTCTCAACTCTCCATCATTTAACGGCCGTGTTTGAGGAGCCAACAATCTCCCCACATTTAGCCAGAACGTTCTCAAACCACCGTCTTTTAGGGACACAATGTTGGTCCTCTGCAGACTGTGTGCCGCGCAGGGTAACGTTCGATGTCGAGATGAAGTAGCCGAGCAGCTGGCTCAGCCTAACAGCTAGCTTAGCATAGTGGTTTTCCAATGCAAAAAGCTCTCTGCATCGTGATGTAACTGACTGCAGCTGGCGTCCGTTTCCTTTCCGTGGTCCACTGACAAACGACCGTTAAGTACGTTACAAGATTTTGTTTCATTAATCTAGGCCGCATTAATCGCATAGATTAATGCATCGATGTTGACAGCTCTAATTTTAATGTTTGTTGTTTTAGATGATTGAGTTCATTTTTTGCTGATATCAAACACAAGATTAAGCTTTTGTCCATCCAGAGAGAAAGTAAAAAGAAATAGTAGAAAGAAGTAATGAACGTTATTTATAAGCTGACAAAAGGAAACAATGACGCTAAACTTAGTTTGGTTCTTTTTTAAATGAGTAATCAGTAAAGTGGGTTCTTGTGTTTTCAGGGTCAGAGCTGGTGATTGACGGCAGAACTCTGAAAGCAGTTTCTCTCAACACTCTGCTGTCTGTCTACTTGTTACTGTGAGTTCACTGCAAGTCATTCATTTATACTTTCAGTCATACATTCATTTATTTATTCATTTATAAATTCATTCCTTCATTCCTTCATTCATTAATTCATTCAGTTCTTACATTTAAAGATGCATAGATTCATTAATATCCACTCGTTCGTACAGCTGTATATTCATTCATTATTCCATGACCACCTTGATCCACTAATAATAATAATAAGTGTGTGTGTGTGTGTGTGTGTGTGTGTGTGTGTGTGTGTGTGTGTGTGTGTGTGTGTGTGTGTGTGTGTGTGTCAGAGTGTGTGTCCTGGTCCTCTCTTCCTGTTACTTGGCCTATAAGATCGTCTCGTTGGAGCAGCGGCTGACGATGCTCGGGCTCCATCACCGAGTCCCCCCCCCAGGAGTGAGCTAAAACTACTCTATTCAGAAATATATTTTGGGATAACAGCGGGAAATAATCATCATACGATCACAACTTTAGACGTAGTTTCCGATTACGATTTCTGCAAGAGAAAAAGATATATATTTATATTTGGCACATAAATGTAAAAAATGAAACAAAAAAAGAAAAGAAGTAAAAAATACTTAAAGATTAACGTAGTCGCGGTTACGTCATCTGTTGGTTTGTGACCAAATAAAAATAAAACTGATCCCAGTGAGTTAAAAATGAAAGATTCATTTCTTTAAGATCCGTGTCCTTCTTTGTTGTTCTTCTGCTCCCCAGAAGCGACTTCCTGTGGGGGAGCGAGGTGAACACGGAGCTTTTCTCTGAACTGCTGACCATCAACCTGATGAAGCTGGAGAAGGTCAGTGACTGAGGTTTGATCCAGAAGAAAGCTGAACTACCCCCCACCCCCCCTAAATACCCACAATGCTCTTTGTCTGTTTCAATAGCAATGCCTAACAATTCCCTAGAAGGGAAATTGTGGAGTGTGTGTTAAAGAAAAGGCTTTTCAAATCAGTAAAAACTCAACTTTATTATTAATACATTTATATTATATATCTATATATTATTCATAAAATAATACATTTCAATAATATTCCCCAGGGTGATTAAGAAAGTATCCATGTATTTAAATCTGGATCCAATATTCAACCCAGAAATGGATTACTTCACTTAATCAGAAAGCAGATGACTGCTTTACTTTCATAAACTCATCTCCACCAGAGCAAAACCAAAGGTGCTTCCACCTGATGTGTGAGGAACAGGAACAGAACAAGGAAATCATCCCTGTAACAGTTGCCTCCTCGAGGACGAACCACAGCAGCAGCGAGGACGAGACTCTTCCCAGAAACACTCGACCTGCCAGCTAATGTTTTAATGATATAAACCTTACTTACAAATACTTATGTATAACACGGCATTGAAGGAATGGTTTGACATTTTAATATGTTTCCATCAGACCAATCTCTGTGTGTCGTACATATCTGGAGTCAGTTAGCTTAGCTTAGCATAACGTGTATAAAATGATAGATAATAGGGGACCAGGATAAACAAATAGTGATTGAAAACACGCTCCTCTGTCCTCTCAGGTGCAGAAGAACCTGCAGCGGCTGCTGGACGAAGCCTCCTGAGCGCACTGGGAACCAGTCCAACGGGCCGCTCCCAGTTAGCATGTATTTACTGTGGGAGAAAACACCACGGGACAAACCAGACACGTATTACTGCATCTACACAAAAGCACTTTAAAATGACACGCTTGCGTTAAAGAGTGCACCCTTCCACATGTAGCCACGCCCAGCTGTGATGTCACCGCGCAGGGACACGCCCCTACGTACACTTCTACATCGACGCAGCGAGAGAGAAGTTAAAATGGGAAACAAAACAAGCCGTGAGGTGTCTTCCTCTCTGGTAGGGTTTTAAACAGTGTTACGTTAGTACTGAATGAGGAGGTACGTATTATTTTAAAGGCCACGATGTCAAGTGACCTCTTGAAGGAGGCACCACCAGAAGGTAGAACCCCAGCAGTACTCCACCAGAGGAACATCTACATCTTTGACCTGCTTTCTGGTCACAGTTCACAGGTGTCCGTTCATGGTTCGGACTGCCGGATGACATTCAGGACAAAATAACACATCTGGAATCAGAAGCTGACTGAGTTTATGTCTCAGTGTGAGAATTGGGTTCTTACAGTTAGACACTTGTCTAACACGTACTTTTCCTTTAGTGTTTAAATGTATGAGGAGGAACATATTCTAGTTAGCATGTGTACTGTCGGTGGGACGGTGGCGTGGTGGTGGCACCAACCGCCAAGTCAAATTCCTTGTATGTCTGACATGTTTTGGCAATAAATGTTTCCTGATTCCTGATCCTGGTCAGCACCGTCGCCTCACTGCAAGAAGGTCCTGGGTTCCACTCCGCCCAGTGACCTTTCTGTGAGGAGTCTGCATGTTCTCCTCGTGTCTGCGTGGGTTCTCTCCGGGTTCTCCGGCTTCCTCCCACAGTCCAGAGACCAGCTCTGGGGATCAGGTGTGTGAATGGTTGTGTGTCTCTGTGTAGCCCTGTGATTGGCTGGCGACCGGTCCAAGGTGAATCCTGTCTGTGGCCTGAAGTTGGCTGGATAGACTCCAGCGACCTGTGTGCAGGATAAGCGCTTTGCAGATGGATGGATGGACGTGTACTATCTGTGATACTAGATAGTAGATCCCTGCAGGTCGTTCTTCATTCGACCAGCGGGTGGCGCTCTGAATTTATAAATCTCACGGTGGCTCTAAAGGTGTTCACAGAGCTGACTGTTACCGAGATGTGCAATGATGCACCCATTTTATCATGTGATTGGTTTTCAACTGTCTGGGAATAAATTAAATGCACATACTTAGTTTCTCTGGTTTAGAATGAGAGACGATTGTAACCTTTAGTACAGACATTAGAAAATACTTCCCAGCTCTGGCCACTGAATGTTAGTCGATGGTTCGTGTAGAGTTTGAAAGTTAAGGCATTAAAAGTTACCTCTCAATGGCTGGAGCCTCACGTAACCCACTGAAAGGCCAGTGATTTATTTTAATATTTGAATCGAAGATGTCCGGGTGAGTTGAAACCCTTTACTTACTTTTAGAAGTCAGGCTCACCTGTCGCCATCTTGGATCACATCTGCATCCGCCCGCAATGCATCTTGGGATATGGCGGGCCCTGAAGGCTGCAGATAAAGTCTTTGCATGGCAGTCGCGGTCCTGAGCGAGCTCTTCCTCCCCTCGTGAGATGTTTCTGTTGTCAGCTGGGACCGAACCAGGGCCTTGTTCCTCGTACGTGGTTCAACTGAGTCCATCAAATGTCCGATTATCCAGCTCAGATTACCGAGATGATTGACATCAGTCTATCTCGGTTCCTCGAATCGGCGCTCAAACCGTCTCGTTAGTTTGAACCAGATGTCAGTCATCAGGATGATCATGAACATATGATGAGATAATATGTTCATTTGAATCATTTCTATCGGACGAATTGAACGTGTGTGTACAGACTGTTAAGACCTCTGAGGCAAATTTGCGATATTGTGCGATACAAAATAAAATGAAATGAATCATATAATCCTGTTGAAGACTGACAGCGCCCCCCTGAGGCTACAAGCCCCACAAAGGATCACACAAGTTAATATTATGCGTGTTGGTAAGATGTAACAGCTCATTTAAGTGCCTCGTCACTCTAATCAATCAGATTATATCTCTTTAAATGTGTCTGTTCGCAGGAGGCTTCATGATGATCATCATCCAATGAGAATAATGATCGCAACTCTTTCAGAGTATGTAGATAGAAGCTCATGTATCATATGCGTGTAGATGACCATATTGTATTATATGTGTGTGAGTGTGTATGTGAGAATCATTATATATCCATCGTTCATCATCAGACATTTGATCAATTGAAGCAGTGAAACGTGGAACATCCAGAAGTTTATTAAGCAACAAATAAACCAACAGAACTTTACCAAGAACACGACATGCAGCGGTTTGCCAGATGTTCTCAGCATCGTTCATGTCAACAGCACCTTTAGAAAGAGAATTTTTTTTGGGGGGGGGGGCGTTTTAGGGGTCAAAAACATTAAATCAAATGTTCAATCTGCACAAAAAACTTTCACAATTCAACCAAAACAAACTTACAAACAACTCGTATTTATTCTTCAGTGTTTGGCTTCAGCATCAAGCAATTTGTCAGAGAAAGCAACTGTTGTTTCCTTTGCAAACGATGTTGGACACACACACACGCACACGCACACGCACACACACACACGCACACACACACACACACACACACACACGCGCGCGCACTTCGCCTCTCTGCGAGCCTCTGTGTGAGTGTCTCTGTGCGTCACCAGCAGTGATGACAAATGTCTTTGTTTCATGATGCAACCACTCTCTCACACACACACACACACACACACACACACACACACACACACACGTTAAGTGGTTTAATGTCTATATTTCTTATGGTTTTATGTACTCTCGGTTGCAATTCCTGCAGCCTTTTGAAAAGGTATTTTATGGTTCCTATCAGTCCGAGCATGCGCAGTAGGTGGACGGTATGAGCCCTTTCAGCTTGACGTCATCTGAACGTTGCAAGGTAAATGATCTGTCTCTCTCCCATCTGAACGAGGGCCCTCTGCGTCTCTCCCTCTCTCGATGCGCCAGGACGCGTGCCAAAGTTTGGTGCGTAACGGACACCGATCCATCATGTATTCTCCCTCCTCCTCCTCCTCCACTCCCGCAGTGTTGCCGGCATGCTGGGATGTCTCGAGAGTCCAGAGGAAGGGGGAGAGAGCGAGAGGAGAGATGACAATACACCGTTTGAGTCAACATCTGAGGGGACGACCCGCTCGCCAACTCGTGGATGGATGGAGAGATGGACACATAGAAGAAGGGGTCGGGGGAGGAGGAGAGGAGGAGGGGGGGCACAGTGAATGAGAGTCAGAGACTCAGTGTCCTTTACGCACATTACGCACAGATGGTTGGCCGTGCGTCCTGACTAAATTGAGTTTTGAGTATAATTCACGTACCTGAATGTTTCATTTGGACTCCTGCCCGGTGGCCTCTTCTTCATCCCGTTGCTTGGTCCTAGATGCTTCAGGTCTGGTGACCTCTTTCCTCGTCGGGTCTCCTTGGCACTAAATGCTGCGGCGCTGCTGTCCGGACTTCCCCGCGGAGCAGGTGTTTGTTTCTCGGTAACCGTTAGTCTCCCGGTGACTCTCCCCGTGGTTCGCGGCCATGTCGGGACAGAAACCGTCCCTGAAGAGCGGCGGCTCCCCGCAGAGCCGCTTCCAGGTGGACGTGGTGACGGAAGCGTCCTCCGCCGACGGATGCAAGCCGCCCGAGGAGGCCAGAGGCCGGTCCCGCGTGGTGGGCTTCCTGGATGCCGGAGCGCTGGGCAGCGCGATGGACATCGGCCTCCCGCCGGACGTCTCCTACGACCCGGACGCGGCGAGGAGCGACTCGGTCAGCCTGCACTCGACGGGCACGGGTCACACGCACGTCTCCGACAGCCACTCCAACACCTACTACATGCGCACGTTCGGACACAACACCATCGACGCCGTGCCCAACATCGACTTCTACCGGCACACCGCCGCGACCCTCGGGGAGAAGCTCACCCGACCGTCGCTGTCGGAGCTGCACGACGAACTCGATAAAGTAAAAATTCATTGTTCGTGTTCCAATATGAGTTATTTGTCCCACTCTGATACTCCTCTAGTTTGTTCACTCCTCGTGTATTCATTAAAACACGGAAGGAATAGTAATTCGTAGTTCTTCTGAATCATAGAATGATGAAAAGAACAAAATCTGTAAAAAATCTTTGACTCTAATGTGTCAACAATATCGAACAAGACAATTAAACGTGAATTTATCCAATTGTCACATTTAATTTCTAAAATGGAACATTTTGATCATAAGATAATAAGTGTTTTAGAATAATATTTCAGAAAACTCGTCTTTGCCAGTAAAAGTTCTGTATTCAACATGAAGTTAGTTTTATTCGTGAGGGTCTAACATCTTACTCTTTATAGTAAGATATATTCTTAGAATTAATATTCCTATAATTGAAAAAACAGATGTAAGATTATAATAATAAGCACGTCTAACTAAACTGGCTTCAAGTTAATTGATTTTAAAGAATGCCGGGTAATTAGAAACAGAACCACTTCCACCTCAGAGACTGTGAGTGGGCTCAGTGACCTCACTGGAGGCATGACCCCAACGCACACACGCACACACACACACACACACACACAATGCTGCCTCTCATGACCCTCGTCACGCTCCCACTCCTCAGATAGGTAGCCGTGACACAGGCGGCTTTGTACGTCGTCACAGCAGGACTCGGTTATTCCAAATAGCACAGAGTGAACACAGAGTGTACATGTGACATGAGTGTGTGTGTGACATGAGTGTGTGTGTGATCTGTGCTTGGGTCTGAGGAAGCGCTAACGTGGGTTATTGATGCAGTGCAGGTACTAAGTAGGCCGGTGATGGTGCGTCACGACTCACCTGTGGATTTGAAGTGAGGTTCAAGTGCTGAATTAGATTTTCTATTTGAGGAGAACAATGAGAAGAAACCAGCAGTGAAGAAACAGTGAACAGTATAAACACCCAAACTGATCCAAAGTAAACTCATGAATCATCAGCCTGACCTGGAAACAAGGTTTCACTTTAAATGTTTGTTTTTAATTCATAATTCAGCAGCCAAAACCGAACATGTGACTGATAATAATGAAATAAAATCAACCCTTTTCATTCTTCAGAACAAACAGGAAATCACAAATGCGGTCGAATAAAACGTTTTCCAGGAATGTCGTCCCATCAGAAACATCCCAGACAAAGACAATAAAGTGATAACGATAAAAAGCAAAAACCTCAAAGAAGAAGAAAAGTCCCTTAAAAAAAGGATTAACGGATGAATAAATGGTTTCAGCTTTCAGTGAATTTTCTCCCCATCTTTTTCTTGCCCCTTGTTTCCCCGCTGGACTCTGATTGGCTGACAGGATCCGTTTGAGGACGGTCTGGCCAATGGAGAGGAGCCCTCGGTGGCGGAGGAGGCGGCGGCGGCGCTGAGGGCCAAGGAGGCGAAGGGAGGAACCATCAAGTTCGGCTGGGTCAAAGGAGTCTTGGTGAGTGTTCAAGAGCATTTAGTTATTGATCATATTGAGGGACACGCAGGGTCAATGTGTGTGTGTGTGTGTGTGTGTGTGTGTGTGTGTGTTGCAGATCCGCTGCATGCTGAACATCTGGGGCGTGATGCTCTTCATCAGAATGTCCTGGATCGTTGGACAGGCTGGAATCGGTGGGTGCAAATAGGACACCATCTAACTTTAGAAATCTCCTCTTAGAGCTTT